TTAATTAATTTACTTTCATGACTTTGAACTGAATGTTAAAATTTCAAGAAAACCCATTAAGTGTGAGATATCCGTTGTAAATTTGTAAAGCGAAAATTGATTATTAAAATAAAGTGATATTTTGTAGAAGTTAGAGATCACTCCATATTTCGAGAACACCTTGTATATTGTACACTATTGTAGATTACTAAACAATATATTTGATTAAAAGCATAAATGAATGTAACCAGATCTGAAGACAATGTTTTGTTTCAATTTAATATGTAACGACAGCGGCAAAATTAAATTTGTTATCTAATAATCGTAAATGTATCTATAACATGTGCAGTAATGCATTCATTGAATACCATTCTCGTACAGAGTGGCCAACAATTCAAAGTAGCTACCTATTGGCATAATATTTTAACATTTCAAATAATTAGAATAATACAGGAAGAAAGTAAATTGAATTAAAATTTGTAAATTTCGAGACAGTATTTACAGAAATCGACTTAACTTTTCTAGTTATATCAATATTTCACTTACAATTTAGTAAAAACTATTGTTGTTTCAAATTGTCTGAGTAGCTTCTTTTTATCAGTATTTCATCAAAATTCCGTTTTAAGCCTTTAATTTTTAATTTGTGTAATGATTCAAACAATAAGATCAATTGGATAACTCTGAACTATCTAGTGGGGGTAATTTTATCATGTAAAAAATTAAACTACGAATATTGGGTGCAATCCCAAAATAATTAATTCTAGCACCCACTTCACGCATCTATTTATGATAACAATGACAACACTGAAGCAAAATAAAACATACTCACTTGAAAAATACAACGATGAAACGTAGGTACTTAAATTATCTGCATTCGACAAAAATTTGACATCACGAAAGATTTTTTAAGAAGAAATCTTATTTTGTAGTTACATATAACCAAATGTTTGGTCATTGTCTAGTTTGAGCTTTTGTTGCTTATGTACTTGTAGGTATAACTATTCTAAACAAAAAATCTTAGTACCATATCTTGTGCAAATTAATAATAACGAAACAATTAATTTTTTTAACAGAAAATTGTGTCAAATCAAAGCTCAGAGATCCTACCCGAGAATACCGAACAAGGAGAAGCGGCAGCTTGGTGTTTTCAGTGTACCGTTTTGTAACGCGCATGTGCGAAAATAAGTTGTGTATCACTCAAAATGATGTTATCTGTCAAAGTCAGTCCAAGTTGTGTTTAGTAGGTGAGCAATGTTAAGTGATATTTTTTGGTGTTTGTTTTGTGTAGTAATAAGATGAAGATTTTTTACACACTTAGATATTCTAATACAGATATAAAATGTGCCAAAAAAAGTTATTAGGAAACTAAGAATTTTATCACATGTATAAATATTAAGTATAATGAATTAATCATTTTTGACATTTTATTTTTCATATGTAGGTATTGGATTTTCTGAAATATATATTTGTCTTCTTTTAAATTAATTTAATAAACAATGAACTGCAGATTTTGTTTATTTTATTTTGAAATTATATTTAAAAAATATAATAAATCCGCATGTTTCAATTAAGATTGGTCAAAGTGGGTGAAATCCCTTTATTCTGGCTAAGTTACAATTATGTCAATATAAAAAGTTTTACATTAAAAAGTTTTACATACCTGGCTCCAAAGTTGTATAACCCATTACCATCTGATTTAAAAAAAATTAACTCCGCAAGTTTATTTAAAAAGAAAATAAAAAATTGGATCCTATCTTTTCCGACTGCTACATTGCAAAACTTTATTTCGCCGCGAAATGAAACATGTTATAGTATGTCAATCTTAGCGTGACTTAAAAAAAAAACTTAATAATTTAATGTCTATTAATATTCTAATTGATTTTACTAACACTGTTTTTTGATTGTCCTTTTATATTATATTATATTTTACAGTTAAATTGTTTAAAATTCTATCATGTGAATCTCAAACATTTCCTTTTATAAATGTATACTTTTTAATTTAATTTTTATACATCTATTTTTCATGATAAATGAACTACTGCATTCACGCACAAGCCTGCTTTTGTGAATGTACACTCTATTTGCCATGAATATATGGGTGTCTACTTATTTACCTATCTCGTTTTTTATATACATGTATTTTTTCTAAATCTAAATTGTAATTTTAATTGAGGCAAATAAAGATTATTATTATTATTATTATAAAGAAGTTTTTGGCCATTCATATTTAAATTTATTGAATTAATCATACTGGAGTTGATTTTGGAAATATTGGTACATACCTAAATAAGTACTATTTCTAAAAATTCGTCTATGCCCAGACAGCACACATAGTCCAATGGACGTACATTTTGGATCCATTTGAGGGTCAGGGCGTCCATATCCGGGCATCCAGTATACGTCCGTTTATGCTAATTAATTTGACAGCTGAATATAGATACCCAGAGAACGTCTGTTTTTGGACTAAGTTTAGTAGTATTTTGACGTCCAGTGGATGTCCATCTTAGGTCATTATTTATTAAGCCAACCAGATAATTCCCATCTATATACACTTCCTTTTTTTAATATAATTGGTCATTAAATATTGAATCTATTGCATTTCATTCTATCAGCGGAAGTTTTAAATCTTATTCCATGATAACTATATCTAGTAAAAAGTGTTCAAGTGGTTCCTTGGTCAAGCTCGTCTAGCGATTGAAAGCATAAAACGATAATGGATGTGTCGTGAGTCCGATCCCTGCTCATGTCAAGCGACTTTAATTTAAAAAATAAATAAATGGTGTATATAGCGATTTACGAAAATAATAAACAAATTAATAATAATATAAAATAGTGTGTGGTGAGTTGCGGTTCTGTAAAAAAATTGGGGATGTGGTCTCAATGGAAATATAATCCTGGACGTTTTTTGAATGTCCAGTTTTCGACGTCCAAATATATTCCAGAATTGGACGTCCTCTGAATAGTCAAAAGTGTGCCATTTTTATACTTCACTGGACATCCATTGGATGTCAGAAGTCCAGAAAAACTCATTTTTGGACTTCTAGACATCCAAAATTGTATATAGAATGGACGTCCAATGGACGTCCAATGGACATATTTATATTGTCTGGGTGTTGTTTATGTATTTAATTCTAAATACATAAACCTTAAATGACATCTGGCTTATCTTTGAGAAAACATTTGTTTCTACAGAAATGAGTAATAAACTTGAAGTCCTTTTAATATAATAAAAATCCAGAAATTTTTAAAATATGTAAGTACTTTTTAAACCTAAAAGTACATTGAAAATATTTAGTTAAACCTCTCAAACTTAATGTCTTTTTAATTGTTACCTAAATTTTTTTTGGTACCCTTAATTTTATTAACCTTATTTTTACTTAAGGAAAAGGTAATTTAATTTAAATATGGGGCTTTTATTACATTTTTAACAATAAATAAACCAAATATTGAACAAATTTTATAGAAAAATTATAAAATAATAAACGTCTTTTACTTTTATAACAAATAATTAATTATTACCTACATAATGAATTATATTTTGCTGCTGAAATTTCACCATTACTATTAACCCTAACTACTTCAATGTAATTAAATCACATTACAACATTTACGCATGGACTATAACAATGATTTCAGATAGTTTGCCAAACTATTTCCCTCAGTGTAGAAAATAAGCATGTTTCTCAGCGTATTAAGTTGTGTATTAATCAAAGTCATGTTTTGAAAAAGGTCCACCCAATATCAAAGGCACCGACAGCTACTGTTGCTTCTCTTCTCATTGATCGGTATTCTCTGATCCTACTTCTACATCTTAACACTGTTGCCAAGTCACACAAAAAGTTTACCATTCAATTATTTAGTATGAAAAGTACAGCAATTCATTTCCAATAATTTTCGTACTAACAATATTTAATAATATTATAACTATTGATGTTGTTTGGTCCACCTATCACTCCTATTCACTCCCTTTCCCATAAAAATGATAAAATTTATGGAAGAAATGGCATATTTTTATTTAAAAAAATCATCTGTGTCCTTATTATTCATTTGCACAAGATATGGAACTTAGGATTTATTTATAATAGCAAAACCTAAGAGCACCTATGCTTAGTTTTTGCATAATCGTAGAGCCCAAACTAGACATTTTCCAAATGTTTACCTAATTTTACCAGTACAGGTTTATCAGCTATATTTTTTAGTTGCTTGGGTAAATACTATTCTTTCTCAAACTATTGTAAATACCCTTGTTTTTTTTGTATAAATATAGTAGTTCTTAAATCTCAATTTTATTTTTAAATGACAAATGATTATCATAATGAAAGAATATCACTTTAAGCATACAATGATTTTTTATAAAATAATACTGACCTTATATGATTGCTTCCAGTGTTCAGGAATAATAATATTATTATTATTATGATCTATATTTAAATTAAAAAATGTTGTCTACCTAGGTACTTGTATTTCTAAAGATAATTTTTACCTTTGTATATTAAAGCTGTAATAATCACTATTACTTTGTTTCCTTTTCTGAACTCTTTTACCTTAATATTGAAAAACATATAACCTATGTAGGTAGGTATCTACATAAAAGTATTGTTTAGAATAATTTTTGTTATAGTGTATATACTGTTTTCAAATTGATGGCCTCTAAGAAGTCAAACAGCGATTATTAGTATTTGTTTGTAAACAGTTACATCGATAGATTAACTATTTTTTGTATTAATTGGTAATAAAATAAAAGTGTACCTACTTGTTTAGTGAACCTACTTTAATTTACTAAATTTAAATGTTTATTGCGAGAACAAATGAATGCACTTATTTAAACAGGACGAATATCGATGCATATCCGGGATGTACCTATTTAATAACAAGGGATTCCTTAGTAGATTCCAAAGGATAATATCCAATTAATTTTCACCAAATTAAAACGAAAAAAAATATTAAAAAAAATAGTTTGCTAGGAAGTCATTAAAAATTGAAATTCTCACAAAAAAAATCAATAAAAAAACATTACAAACCTCGAATTGTGAAGTACAAAAGAGGGCACCAACCTGTTTGGAATTGTTTAATTGGTGAATTTTTTAACGAAAGGCACAAATTTTGACACTTGCTAACACAACTCAAACGCCATTACAAAACTGACTGACAGCCACTGCCACTGACAGAAAAACGAAGGGCCTCTTTCACTTGTAAATTTCAGTGTTACCAACGAGACAAATGTTTGGGTCATTAAAGTGTCTACTATCATACCAAGTGGAAGGACAATTATATTAAGATGTATGCATTTATCACATCAAAAAATTTAATTTACATATTTTGGCAATTACTATTAGGACTATTTTCATAGACATTCCACCACTTGAGTACTGAATATTTTATACTATACAAGGACAGTTGCTGCTTGACTGAATAAAAAGAAACAGTAAGTGTAGGGAAGAATAAGAAGAAAAATAAATTTGACAGTTTCAGAATTTTGAATTTATTTTAAAGTTTATTATTAAAGTTTTACAAAAAAATGTATTAAAGAATGTTGATACTTTTCCATTACATAAGTATCTTAATTTTTGAGATTTTACAGAAAAGAAAGAGGCAAAAAAAATTGGAGAATGTCGAATCAGTAGTTAGCAAAATTTCTACATGTACAGAAAGCAGCACTTCCAAATTTAGAGATTCGAATATCCAATTTACAAATAGCAAATCTTCTATATGTAACGACTTAAATGTAGATCCCGTGGACAACAAAATGTCTTCATTTATTAATTCGAATGTCGAATCCATAGATGGGAAAAATTTCACATTTAATGATTTGAATGTTGAATTCGAATACAACAAAACTACATTTAATGATTCTCCCAAAGAAAGCCTAATAAATAGAGATAGTGACATTAAGATAATTAAGGATATGGAGGAATTAAAATTACAAGAAATAAATATTGATGAAGATTTAGACAATTCTATAAAGTTTGATCCACCAGTATTTCGGCAAAGATATGCTGAGGTCTACACGACCCTCATAAATGAAAAATGGAGAACCAAAGTTACTAAATTGTGCGATTTCGGTTGTGCTGAATTAGGATTATTTACATTCATAAAAAGATTGAATAGATTAACTGATATCTTATTTGTTGATATTGATGAAAATATATTAAAGGATAATGCTAGAAAGATACAACCTTTAACAATTGAGTACCTGAAACGAAGGGAAGAGCCCTTAACAGTCAGTTTATGTGCTGGTAGTGTTGCAGACCCTGACTACAGAATTTTAAATACAGATGTCATCACTGCAATTGAATTGTTAGTATCATATATTTGGTCTATGACTTTTAAAGCAGCAAAAATTATTCATTTCAGTATGTCTTTTATCCACTGAGCTACTGAATATTTGTTCAATCAATTTCTTGCAAACATTACATTTATATAGTAGTTCAAATCCAACAAATTTTTCTATATTTTTAAACAAAGAATTATTTTAAAACCACTAATATTGGGGACATAATTGATTTCAAGAAGTTGATATTTTTAATAAATACTTATTTCCATTAGCAAAATATTTATTTGAAAAAAAATACAAAAATCACAAATAAATTAAACCTTGTGTACCTATTTCTCATTTTTGATTTAACAAATTCTTTGAAAATAATCTGTTACTAAGATTGTTATTATTCTTGAAAAGGGTAGAAATGCGAATTTACCTACATCACACTCAGATTATGAGTTGTTAAAAGACTTATGACTCTAAATGTTTTAAATAGATAAAATTGTTTTACTACTTCCTACGTTTTTAAAATAAAGTGTACCTAATTTTCTTTTTTAGAATTGAGCATCTATACCCTGATGTTTTGGATGCATTCCCTTACAACATCTTCAGCTATGTTGAACCAAAACTAGTAATAATAACTACTCCCAATGCTGATTTTAATATTTTATTTTCCTCAGACCCCAAGAGGTTTAGGCATTACGATCACAAATTTGAGTGGACTAGGGAACAATTTGAGGATTGGTAAAGTTTCATAATTTCATATTTATTCACATTTTCCAGTGTAATAAACTGTCATTGTATTGTAAAAGATCAGACCTTTCAATATATTTGAATCATTTTTATGAAAATAATGATCAGGATAATTTAAAAAAAAATGTGTTCTAAAACACTCATATTGCTTTTTCTGTCAAATATAATACCAATTTACAATATATGCGTTTTTTAATAGTCAGTCCAATGTTTTTAAAATATTTTTATCCTTTTCTTATTATTTCTGTAAAAATCTACCTTCCAATTCTATTATTTTTTTATTGCTTTACAAAATTATTAAAATAGATTTAAGTAGTTGTGGATTCTACAGGAAAAAACTGAAATAATCATATTTGCAGATTTATATATTTTTATAAATGTTATTATTATTAAGCAATCAAACTTTATTTTATTTATAATAAATAAAATAATTATTGTAGTATTTTTTATAACCAGAGAGGTGAAAATAGATGAAGGTGTAATATTGGTTTATCTTCATACTAAGTAAATGGTACTACACGTCAAAGCTTGTTTTAAATTACCAGTGGGTATATAGGGACTAATGTGTTAAAATTTTTTAAAATAAATATTTATTTTAACCAGGAAAAAATTGAACGTTTTTTCATAAAGTTTTCAACATTTATTTAAAAAAGAGTTTTTCAAATAAAAATCGTAATTTTCCAGATGTTTTTGTATACACTTCTTCTTATATCTATACCCTTTGTGGGACCTGAGCTGTTCTGCGGTATCAGAAGTAACAATATTAGGAGAGATTAAAAAAGAATTGGGCAGTAGAAGAACCAATAATTGGAACAATCTCTTGGGGTTAAGGTAGGCTAAGATACTTTTGGGTGAATATAACCAGAAAAGATTTGAAGCCTGTATCTGCCTGAGCAAGAACAGGGTACGTATTGTAACAGGGATCCTTACTGTGCATTGCTGACTCAAAAGACACTTTAGTAAACTAGGAATAGAAGTGCAAATTCTGAAAGGAGGACGAAACCTCCATTCACATTCTGACTGAATGTGTAGCACTCCAGAATCCAAGGGCACTATACCTAGGATCATATAACAGAGAAGAGGGAGATTTACCTAACTTAAAGCCACTCCAAATCCTACACTTTCTTGAGAAGATAGGTTTGGAAGGGTCATTATATGCATTGAGACATTTCCTTGCTGCATTAGAGACCGAAGGAGACACAATAGATCTGAAAAGGTCGAGGTGGGGGAGGCCACATGGCCCATAGTCCTAATTAAATCTAGGTCGCATTCATAACATATCTACTCCAGATATACCTACTGAACCAACTTAGTATTGCACAACACATGATTATTTTAATTATTAAATTTTTCTATTATCATTTTTAAAGAGAAATTACTACACTATAATCAAAAACACAATATTGTGTCATAATTTTTTACCAATACAACGAAAGTAGTGTTACTTATATCAAGTTATGTCATCACTATTCCTATTCACCTCTCTGTTTATAGAACACTGAATTAATTTCTCTTGAAACAACATTTCAATTTTAGGGCCAACAACATAGTTACTCGTTACCCTGACTACTCAGTAACATTTAGTGGCTTGGGAGAAGGTCCTATAGGCTCAGAAAACTTAGGCTACTGTTCCCAAATGGCCTTATTTACAAGAAAAGATCTGATGAACGAAAAATATACTCTTAAAGAATACTCAATATATTGCATTTGTTCTAATGAATCTCAGTGTAAAGGGTTGAACTCTACATTTTTGGCTTGCAAATGTGTATGTCCCTGCTGTTCACCAAAGTCTTCTTATGGCGTCTGTACTTATTACAGTTATTCAAAACAGATTACTCATGAGGATCAGGTTGAAAATACAAGTGGGAATATTTTCTATAAAGCCATTGAAACAGTAAGTACTAAAATAGTCTCAAGCATGTTTAATTTCAGGGGTTTTTATTAGTTACAATGAATACAACAAGTAATTTTTGTTTATATTGTTTTTTTTTTGTTCAAAAGTACTATTTAGTATTTAGTACTCCCATGTATAACGGTGCTGTACAGTAAAATCACGTTGGTATTATTTATTTATTTACCAACAGTACAATCTTAAACATTAAATATTGCTTAACCAAACTAAAAGAAAGATTACTTAAATAGAAATAAATGATGCCAAATTTTTTTCACACAATGGTACTCATAATACTGTGTGTGCGCTTGGTTTCCTGTAAAATACATACGAGATTGGGTTACTTAAGATTTTAATAATTTAATTTTTTTAATTATATACCTTTAAAATAAGGGCGGTTTCCATTATAATCCTTAGAGTTGCCAAATTTACGAAAGTGAAAAGTGTGACAACCGTGACGACAGAGTATCAGGTTATACCAAGCATTTTTATATAATCAGGTCCATTATTCCTTCACCTTATATTTTTCTATAAAACCAGTTCCTCCTTTTTATGTACGGCTTTAAATATTAAAAAGCGTGGCATTTGCATAAAAAGAGTGGCATTTTTCTCAATACCGGGTCATTTTCGTAATGTGGCATTGAGCGTACAAGCAAGTCAAAAAGCGTGTAAAATACACATAAAGTGTGACGTCTGGCAACCCTAAATAATCCTAATATATTTAAAAATAAAAAATAAATAAATTATAAGCAATAAAGTCAAAACGAAATAACAAATTCTTTTAATCACTAAATATTTAAGAATTAATGAATACCTAAATGTTATAATAATTAAATATTTAAGAATGAATGAGATCCGAGAAAGAAAAAATGGAGTTATCGCTCAATATAATGATTTGTAAAGTTATTTTCTACAATCCATTTATTAATTACTTTTAAATTTTTTTTTTTCGATTTTTTGCCTATGTGTATATATCTAATATGCCAGTCTCAAGTTTGTGTTTAAATTCTCAATCATGTGTGTTCTGTGTAGGCTTTGTTACTGTTTCCCAGCGCAGGAACAGCACTGTTAATTAGAACCCAACAGTGAATGGTCGAGTGGGGAATCCTACCAAGGCATCAGAATTAATTTTAAATAATTAAATTAAAATAATAAATCCCGGCCAGCGGTGGGATTCGAACCTGGGACCCTTGGATCCGGAGGCAGAGACTCTACCACTGAGCCACCCACCCCTTTTTTACATTTAGAATAAGATTTTTGTCTGATATTATGAGACAAGTTATTAGGTATATATTTTTGGACCAACACAATAGATTATGTTTTTGACAGGTGGCATAT